TTTGCCATGAAAGGAATCATGTTCACGGTATGTTTTATTTATTGTTCAATCATTCCAAATGTAATGGTACCAGATTTCGCAAAAAAAAGCAGTAAAATCATCAAAAGCCGTAAAAAAATATCAGAACTCGTCAAAACCGGCAAAAACCATTATAATTATGGTTACCGCTGTTTGAGTTTTTTTCGAAATCTGCATAGTACCACAATAGAAACTATAGAAACCCTATTCTTCCAGATAGAAACTTTATCCCAAAAATTCGCGGCAAAGCCAAACAAAAACAATGTGAGTATTTTTTTAAATTTTGCTATTCTCTAAATTTAGATCGACGTGATCGCCGTATACAACCCTGAAGCTCTTAAAGACGCAGAAATAATTATTCGATCACTGGATGGAAATGGTGGGTTTTTTGTGTTTCGAAAGCTTTGAATTTGTATTAAATCTTTTAACAGGAGACATCAACGTGGCCCAAATATTTTTGGAAATTCCGTTCATGAAGGCAGCTCTGAAGCATGTGATAAATACTACTGTCAACAGATTTGTCGATAAGGTATCTTACAATTATTTAAAGTTGCAAAAAAATACCTTCAGACAATTCCGAATAACGATCGTGTGAATTATTCAACATCGTTTAAGCCAACGCCGCCGCACGCAACGCTTCCAGTTCGGTTTGTCAACACAGCGATTGGTATGCTCAAATAGCGCGAAAAATGTTTAAAATATGTTTAAATTAATTTCAGCTGTTTTACAAAAGACGGTTACCATCGCTGGAATGGCTGACGAAACGGCGAATTCTACAATCTCCTATTTGGTACACGGTCATATGACCTATCTCCTGTGAGTTTTCACTTTTTTAGTGGGCCTATGCAGATTTTGAAAAGAAACGCAGTAAAAACCTTTTAAAGAAACTCGACAACATTATAAAGATTCGGCTAAACTAGTCTTAATCAGATTTTTTGCGTTTTTCTCCAAAATCTGCACATGCTGAAGACTGCCTCATGATTAATCATTCAAATGAACTTAATTCAGAAACAATTCACGATCGAAAGCGCGAGCAGTGGAAAAAAATGGTTGATGCGCCAACCAAAATTAATTTATTTATTCTTTTTTCTTTTTCATTTTTTTGTCTTTCATATTTTTTTTTAATAAACAGGTATAGAAATCTTTACATCATATAAAAACGTTAAAATGCCAAACGAGTAGTGTAAAGTGAAATGGTATACGAAAAAAATCTCAATCGAATACGAAAAAATCTCAATCGAATACGAAAAAATCCCAGTCGAATACGAAAAAATCCCAATCGAATACGAAGAAATCGTTACCGTATATGAAGAATTATAGTCGTATACGAAGAAATCACAATCATATACGAAGAATTATAATCGTATACGAAGAAATGCCAATCGTATATTAAGAAATCCCAATCGTATTTGGCCGCGTTTGAAGAGCGATATCAGCGTATACGATTGAGCTTTCTTCGTATACGACTCGGAATCATTTACCAGAGCAGTTCTTTGGCTTCTGATTTTGTGGCTTGTTGGATCCTTCACAAAGATGTCTACGAATGTTTTCGGACCATTTAAATTCTTCGCAACCCGACGGTTCGACCGTCCGATTTGAATGCGAGAATCTGAGATTGCTCAGAAGCACTAAGACAGCGACCACGTGGCATTTCAAAATGATTCAAAAAGTGAAAAATAAGGACCACTGTAGGTTCTCAAAGCCACACAACAATTTTTATGCACACTGGTCCCGCCAAAGTTTCAAAAAAAAAAAGCGAAAAAGTTCGTTTCATGGGGGTGGCTTTATACGTATTTCTGCACCGTTCGAAAAACGGTTTTTGACGACTACGCGGTTACTTTTTTGGGTGCTAACATAAAAATTGGTACATATAGGTAATTTTTCATGCTGAACACGATTTTAACACTAGTTGGTGTCAAAATATCGAAATTATTCAAATTCGGTGATGACCTTATAATTCTGCTGTACAATATCTCTGTATATTATATGTATTATATAATACATAGAAAACAAATTGTTCAAAATGTGTATACATCAGGAATTGATGAAATACAGTTTTTTGCTTTTTCCATAAAGGAATTAACGTACATATGAATTAATTATCTCATTAGCTAGAAATTTTTTGCCTAATCCTAATTGGAAAAGCGATAAGATCTGACGTTGAACGCACAAAGCTTCTTCCATCAAAAATTCCACAAAAGCGTCTTTGAAATTCTTTTTTTATAGTTTCGTTTTTGAATTGTTTGTATGTGGTTCACTTTGTTGTTCCTACTTTGAGCGTGCTAATCCGGATCATTCACAAATGGATTAAGTTTGTCAAATTTTGACCACCAAATTGTTTGAAAAAAAAAACTCAGAAATCTGTTCGTACTTATTACTGCGTCTAGTTAATTTATTTTATTCGTATTCTACGGCTCAGAAGAATTTGAAATATAAGATATTGCCGACTACGCCAAAATTATCTAAATGCCAAAAAACATTAGGAAATGGTCTTGTTAGTGTTCGCCTTTAACATATCCTTAGACGTAGACCTGTAAATCTATACTCTTAGCTTTTTTTTCAAGAAAACTGTCATTGCTTTTTTTGGCATTTTGCCAAAAGTTCCGCGACACCGACAATGACTATGTATTTATTGTCTCAAAATACTTTACTCGTATTTCGATGCCAAACTTATTTCCCATATCGAAACATTCGATTTCTCTATTCAAAAGATAAATGAGACCAACTGGATGATAGCAGTTTTTTAATCAGACAATTAGATATAATCTCCAAAAAATTTCTAAGGGTATAATATATCTAGTATAGTAAGCTGGAACTAGTTTTTTTTGTTCGCGCAATTGGGGTTATTCATTCAATTCCATTCTACATATTCATTTTTATCATTTTTCTCTTCTCCGTCTTATTCAGATACACTTGAGAGATATGGTGAGGAACTTGATTTTTGCATATTTCCAAAATCGCGGTGTTTGCGAATGTCGGCATAATTCAAATCAACGCATTTCCTGAGAATATTTAATCCGTTTTTGGATTATAATCGAATTCAGTGGATTTTATCAAGATTTTTGCTTTCAACAAAGTTTTCAAAAAATATTCCATCCGCTTTTCATATTTCTCAACATTTTTTGTTATTTTGCGCAGCTGCTAAACAACTCCAATTATAGAAATGTCTAATGATTCGGTATGTCTTTAATTAATTTTTGAAAATCTGAGAAGTAAGTGTAAATGATATAAAATTATTGCAGTGTGTTGATTTCAAGAAATTCTGAAATTAAAAAAAATATTTTCCTGTGAATTTGCGAAATCCCTTTTATTTCTCCCCAATTCAATCAAATTAACATATTTCTCCAAATATTCCATGTCAATTTTTTCTTTTCAGGAATCGACCTGTTCTCCTCAAATCCATTGCCTAGAAACGGCACAAAGTGAGTGTTTTTTTTTCCGGAATTTTCACACCTCTCGAAAATCATGAACCGTCAACAAGTTTTGATTGGTTTGGATCACCATGGCGATTATATTTTGAATTCATTTATGTCGTATAGTATAAATTGTCGGTTTTAAACCAGTTGTCGATTTTCCCTCGCCAACATTCTCGTTGTTTCGAATTTTTAATGTGAAAAATGAAATATATTCAGAGGTTTCCGAGGTTTTCAGTTTTTATTTCGAATCGACTATCTATTCATCAAACGTTGAACTTCTAAACTTGACGATTTATTTCTTCCAGCTTCTACTTCATTTTTTTGTTAGTTTTCGAGCGACACATTTTTTTAAACAGTTGTGATCAAAAAAACCTGAAATTCGAAATTCTAGACAAATTCTTACATTCATCTGCAGATATTCGTTTTCTCATTAGAGTTACCTTTTTTTAAATTCAATATTGACATTATTCAATTTCGAATAAATTTTTTGTATTCCAACGAGACAAGTTTACTTCATCTTAAAAATTACTTTTATGTGTTTAGAAATATACGAACTTTCGTTTTTGCACATAACTTTCCTCGAAAAAAAATTTTTTTTAAATCGCAATCAATAATTTTGAATTTTTTTTCGGAAACATCCTATTTGCATTAGAGCTTGTATCATATTTATAGTGTACAATCATCTCGAATCGGAAGAACATCAAAAATTGTGCGAGGAGAGTGTTCAGAAACGTTGTCTCATTTACCTAGGTAATTGATTTTTCAAGAATTCAAGAATTCCGTTGTATAATTGCAGGTGATATGCGTAGACTTCCAAAATTCCGAAAAATCTTGTTTCCAATCATATTCAGCTTATTCATTTTCGCAATGATTCTGCAAATGTCGTCCGATGTGTGAGTTGATCGATTATTTGGTGACCATTCTTTTTTCATTGGGAACGGCTTTTTCTAACCAATTGTTGGGTGCTAACACTCAGATTGATTAAATTCGTTGCAGAACAAAACAAGCCGATGATAACGATCCCGATTATTATGAATTCACTGATGAATATATTGAGCATATGAATCATTTGAAAAGTTCTATAAAAATGTAATTGCAAATTGAATTTCTGTGATACTTTTCATCTAAAAATCCCAGTTTTTTTTTAGCACATTTTATTGTTGCAGCTTGTATTTGCATTGATTTTTTCAGACACGAACCACCGGTATTCAAAATGAGCAATCGAACAATTCCTCCGTTGATTATTTTAATCACTCCGACATATAAACGGTTAACAAGAATAGCGGATATGCTGAGGTATTTTGTCGGTTTTGATAATCGTCGGCCTACGGCGACTGTTGTAGATTTACGGGAGATGTGGTCTCGCGTGGACTCATTGTTTATTTCGCATTGAATGGATGATTTCGATAATTTTTGATTACTAAAACCTCAAAAATGTGTCCAATTTACAAATTGGACAAAAAAGGAATGAAATTTTACTCTAGAGAAAAGTTTATGCCACCGAACGCCGAACGTCGATTACTATATTCCGAAAAATTTACGAAAAGAAAGTAATTTGAATTAAGGATGTCAAATACGCTGATGCACGTGAAACACATTCATTGGATTGTGATAGAAGACTCGAATACAACGAAGCCAGTCATTGAATCAATGTTGAATCGCACTCAGATTCCGCACACCTATCTGGCCCATCGAACGGCTCCCGGATATCCAAGTAACAAAAACTATTAATTGAACAGATTCGTTAGATTTTCGAAAAAAATGCGCGTTGAACTTTTTCTTCACATATGTGAAATTTGACTTAAATTATTCATTTTTGCTTTGTTTTGTTAGTTATTTCCTTGCATTTCCAAAGTTTCTTATTTTCTAACATTTTAAAATAGAAAACCAACAGAATCACACTTTCAAAAAGCATTTTTGTTATTCTAAACAACTTCCAAAACATTTATTTTCTTTCATGATTAAAATGATGAATCATTCAGAACGGGGTTGGTATCAACGATCGATGGCGTTGAAATACTTGAGGAATAACACTTCTGAAATTCTCGGCGAACATGATGAAGGCGTTGTATATTTTGCCGATGATGATAACTCATACGATATAAGATTATTCGACGAATATGTCAGAAATGTGAGAGTTCTTGGAATGTGGGCTGTTGGTTAGTTGATTTTTGCGTTTTTTTTTTCTCATTTTCAAATTATTCGCCAACTTTCAGGTCTTGTTGGAGGAACTCTTGTAGAAGCACCGCATGTCGATCACGGAAAAGTGACTTCGTTTGATGTTCGATGGAATGCGAAGCGAATGTTTGCCATCGACATGGCCGGGTTCGCAATCAATCTGAGGATTGTTTTAGGGTTAGTTGCGATTCGATGAAACCTTTTGTTATTTGCATTCAGATCGGAAGCCGTGTTTGGAACCTCGTGTAAGCGAGGAGCAGGAGCTCCCGAGACATGTCTTTTACAGGACATGGGGCTAACGAGAGATGACATTGAACCGTTTGGATACGAGGGAAAGGTATTATACTATCATACATTTTTTTTCTGTATAATCTCTGTATGTAAATTAAGGAGCCTCGTGAGATTTACGTGTGGCATACTAAAACAGCACAGCCTATAATTGCGAAAGATAAATCAAAAAAGAAAAACGATGGGAAAACAAAGCAACAGTTGCCAACATTTGGGTATCTTGTCGAGTACTAAAGTTTAAAAAAAATTTGCCAAATTTTACGGGTTTCACTTTCCCATTGTTTCTATTAATTAACTTTTTTGATGAATTTGAATGTTTCTAGATGTTCTATGAGATTCTCGTCGGTTGTGGATTATGTTTTGTTTTATTTACGGGCTACATCTTGATATGCAGGTTAAATAAAACATGCCAGTTTTTTTAAAAACATAGTATAAAGAAAACCCTGACCAAATTCCAGTTTCGCATTGAAAAAAAAACTGAAATTCGCGTACGGCCGGATTATTATTTTTTTTTTAAATCGACTGACCAATTTTTGGTGATCTCTATCTCCATTCTGCCTTAAATTGGATCCGGTTCCTTCATAAAAAAAAAGGTCTTAGCCGCGATTTCAAGAAACTTTCAAAACAAAACAATTTTCTCAAATTAAATTGTGTCCTGATTGAAAATTTAACATCGATTTTTATTCACATATGTCGTAAAAAAACATAAAATAGGATGATTTGATTGACTGAGGCTTCTCGAAGAAAGTTCGTCACTCATTCTTCACAAGGACAGGTTTCAGCGTTATACGTACGTATGTTCTCATTTTTTGCAATAAACTACGTTCTGGAGCATCTCAATCACATGATAGCAGGCATGCAACAGGATAAAGAGAATTAGAGAAGCCGGGAATATCTCGGCAAACAATCGTGCATCCGCATCCGCAGTACTCATTCGTCTATCCATTCAATATTTTATATTATACACATCTGACTTGTTTTTTTTTCTCAAAATGTCCGAAGTTGCACCGCTTTCGGAAATGTGCCGTTGTGCAATAGCCACACGACTTTTTGCGGTAAATGAAATGCGTTTGGAATTGGCCTAAAATGTCGATACAGAATAATATTCGTTGGAGAAAAATCACAGATGTTGCATTTCAATTGCGCGATGTTCTAGAAACCCTTCGAACATCAAATTTGATTCGAAAAATAATTCGAGAATCGTTAACGGACGTTCTTGGAGAAGTTCGAAGATGGGGTATATCAGCGACCAATTCCAGATTGAACACCTTTTGAGATATTTCAGATGCGAAACATTCGGAAATGTTCGTCGAGAGTTGCCAGAAACGGGCGATGCCCAAGTCCGCTCATCTGCGGACATTTTATGCCCATCTTGTGTGGAAGCGGTACACTTGTGAGATTGATGATGTCGCGACATGTTCGCATCTCATCGAATCCCAACTTCGAGATTGGCCACTCATGCAATTTCAATTTGCTTGTCTTTATGCGATCACCGATGTGATCTATGATGACTGGAAATTCGACAAATATCGAAGAGCGACGTTCAAGTAAGGGACTCGAGCGTTTTGTTTAGAACACCTAATTCAAAAAAAAATCCGTTTCGAATATGATCGATTTGGATGATATTTTTTTGACCAGCAAAGTTTCATAATAATTGGCTGAATTCTATATAAGAAATTCGTTTTGCTTTTTAGTTTTTTTGGTGATTTTGCGCAGATTCTTATAGGAAATTGCGCAAACTCTGTCCGACTTTATCGCGATTAACTTTGAGATGAAAATATCGGAAAAATTTAAGGTTTTTCATTAATTTCAGAAAACAGTTATCCGATCATCCAGTATACGATTTCTGGTTGACTTTAATCGATTCGAAGCAAGATTTGTTTTTCGAGACAGGTTCCATCGTTAACTTTTAACAAATCACCCTATTATTCAATACAGAACGACGTCTTCCGAATCAAAAATTGATGCAGTGCTTCATTTTTGCTATTCGAAATGGCTATCGACAACTTGTCGAATTTATTTGGTCTCGAGTTTCAAACCGAACTCGTGAAGCTATTGGTAATATCGAGATATTGAAAATAGATATCCATTTTCTTTTTGAAAGGCCTTCTCGAATGGCGAACTATGTGTTTGAGAGCTCGAGATGCCACAACTATGCGATTTTTGTGCGAAAATTTATGCAAGTATGAGTTGAATTAAAAATTGAGTGATAATAATTTGAAAAGAACAGAATGAATCCGATTGGAACTTGTCGCATCGCATGGTCAGCCTTCTTCGATGCATTCTATCGAATGATTCATGTATTTATTTTAAATTTAATCACCTATATTTCAAGTGCGTTCAGGATGAAAAAAGTGATGTGGTTGTTGAGGATCAGTTCCGCAGAAAATTCGAATTCTTGCTTAAAAATAGTTGTCCGATATTACGAAGCAGACTTTTGAAGAAGGAAAACTACCGGTGAATTCTATCCGATTTCGAAACAATTCGATATACATATTATTGCAGATTGATTTGTGACGCATTTCGCTACAATTTGGATGAGATATTTAATATGTTGGTATTCTATATGGATCCGAATGATGTTCCAAAAGCAAGGTAAATATGATGGTGCTTTGGGCAGACAAAGAAAACTGCTTTTCGAGTATTTTCTCAAGTGTTGGAACAATCAATTTTTGAACTGACAACTATCAATTTGTTGACAATTGTCGCATTGTACACACTAAAACACAGTTTATAACGTCATGCAATCATTTTCGCATTGTTTCATCGCATTTGATAATCTCCATTTGAGCATTGATTACAGGGAATATGTCGATCGGATATTAGATCGAAACAAGACCGATTCTGGAGAGCGTCTTCGGCGGACGATGCTTCGTCGTCAGCTCACAATTGAATAATACAATCGTGTATATAATTATTAGCCCGGGTTTTCTGCATATGTATACATCATTTCAATTCTTATCCGGTTCATTTCAATTCTTATCCGGCAAAATTTCCGGAACGAAATTATTCTTAATTAGAAGTTGGATAATAAACGCAGCATATAATTTGAGGTGTCTAGAACATCACAAACAAATTTGATATCGGTGTGTCGACATACAGTAATCGAGCAGCAGACGACGCCACGCCCACTCCGTATTGCACTTCGAATACAGAATGAGTCGACTCATTTGAAACTCTGTGAAAATATACATATTTGAATGAATTCTCGATTTGTTTACCAACGGATTTTTCGGTCAATAAGCATTGTTTGTCACACCCAATTCACTCATTTGCTGAGCAGTAGCAATAGCAGCCGAATTTACTCAAATGCCCGCAATCCAATTATCCGCTCTTTTTCAGATCCGTTTTCTCTCTCTCTCTCTCTCTCTACCATAGCCACCAAAATCTGATTAAGAATCTATAGTGTGTCGATATTCGACGAAAAACTGCACTATATGGGAAAATATTTTCATTTATTATAACACGCTGCCGAGTATTCCTAAAATATTTTTTATTTTTCGAATACGTATTGACAAAAGAAATGATTTTCTCGTTGATTCGATTCATTTTTGTATTGAATGGGATCAATATCTCAATTCCGATTCTCTTCTTTTAAAAAGTTGCGTAATTGCTAAGGAACGTATAAAATATTTATGAGATCATCGATTACTGATGATATTTGAATAATAAAAAGTTTCTCACATAAATTTAGGACCATTACCATAAAAAAAAACTTGAATAATTGTGGACCATCACATATCTTCAAGGCGGTAATTTAAATTTTGATTTGAACAGTGAGAATTCGGATATAAGCTTTCGCTTTTTGCGATTCCAATAATTTATTAGTCATAAAATACAATTATAAATATATAATACAATGGGTGAATGCTCCGATAATATTATTTTGAAACGATTTTTATATATGTATGTATGTATGTGGTCTTTAAACTATTTACATATTTAGTTTCCGATGGTGCGCGTATAAATTCATAAGAATTCTCATGAAATTCAAAAAAAAATTTTGACTGACGCTGTAGACTACCGTAGTCATTTTTGGTGCATTTGAATATTTTGTGATTTAACCAATATGCGCTACCGTATATACATACATAATAGCTGCCGTTACTCATAATCATTCTTAGCCGCCCACAATCCACTCGAGACCCTTCTTACCCTTGAGGATCTGTTCAAGAACTGAAAGACTAAAAGCCTTAAAAAAACCAAAAAGAAACACACACACACATACTTGCCTTTGAGACACAAAGTCAGAATTTTTAAAAATTTAAATCAATCGTATGAATATAAATATAACTGGCATCTGTTTCAAAAATTTCCATAATTCATTGTATTTTTTGAGGCGGCATTCCAAATTTGAATTTAAGCAGCGCGAATACATACGAGTACTTGCGAATCGAAAACCACCGTAAATTGCGCTAGTGGATTCCGATTGTAGTACGCCATATTTGAACATTACAATGTTTGATCACACCTTTCATTTTTATTTTTAAGGAAACAACAATTTGTATTGTCGAAGACAAGTTGGAAATTCAAAAAATTTAGATGAATTTTAGTTTTATTTATTGAAAATAACCATTTTTTAATGCATGTTTTTGATAGTCAGTTAGGTCCAAAATTCATGGGACCAAATCACTTCGATCAAATTTTTATACAACGTTCCACCTGGAATCGTTTGTTTACTCGGTGAAAATTGGCGGGCGCCGCGCGGGTGGAAATGGGTGGTTGGACCCGCGCGGTGCCAGCGCGACTCCAAATTATGCCCCGCGCGGGCCCAAACGGCTATTTGGTCCCGCGCGGGTCATATTTGCGGGCCCCGCGCCGGTGAATATCTCAGAAGGGCTCGCGCGGGTGATTTGCGTTCAATGGGAATGGAGGGGCCCGCGCGGGTGAAAATAATGCGGGGTTCTGAGGGGCAACTGCGGGCCGTAAGCGGGACTCTCTAAGGACTCTCGCGAGGCCATCAAATGCGAGGGGCCCGCGCGGGCCATTTGCGGCAACCGCAATATATCAGCGTATTACAGTTTTCCAAAAAAGATTTTGCAAAATAATTAAACATGTTGTGTATCAATTAAAACATTGTTCAAAGTGTTTGAATCATCACGACCGTATTCCTTTCGGATGTGGTCGAATTCGATTGGGAAACAAGACATTTTGCGTTTGGAATATTTTATTTATTTTAGTTTTTTTTTATCAATATATTTATTATTGTTTTTTTTTTCGAATAATAGACCAATTTTTCTTATTGAGAATTTCTAGACTAATCTCGTTCACAGAAATTTTTTTTAGTGGAAACACAGTGTACGACACTCCGCCGTTAACACGTGCCCGTTGTTTATCGTATTTTGTTTCAATCGTTTCAAATTGTTCGTTCCAATCACATTTAACTCGTCCAATTAATTAGCAAGTGTCTAATTTTTTTCATTAGTTTTTTCTTACTTCTAAATTTAATTATTTCAGTCATATATATGGTAATATGCTCCAAGCGCAATGTCGAACCAAAGAAGAAGAAGATTTACATATAGTAAGGAAATGCAAAAAAATTAAATACCGTGCGTTGCAGAATTATGACCACTACACGGTTACTTTTGAAGATACTAACATAAAAATTGGTACATATAGGTAATTTTTCATGCTGAACACGATTTTAACACTGCTTAGTCTCAAAATATCGAAACCTGCGCGGCACTCTAATTCGGGGGTGGCTTTGTAATTCTGCAACGCACTGTATATATAATATATAATATTATGTAACATAATTTATGTTTATAGTTGGCAAGGAAATGGAGCCTCACCATGGACCTTCAGAAGTACTATTGAGTAAGTTCCTTTTCATTGCTCATAACTTTGGCAATGAATGTACAAACGGTTCACTATAGACTTATCGTATTATAAGTCTATATAGTCGGCGTCCGTCGACTGCTGCACGCGGGTAGATTTACGCGCATGCGCCTTGAAAAAGTCTCGCCACGTGTGAACGCTTATTTCGCTTTTTTCGCATGAACGGTTTATTTTTTCTTGATGAGTTTCGCATTTTCTTGCCCCAAGATAAACGAGCATCTTCATGAATCTACCCGTGTACAGCAGTCGACGGACGCCGACTATATCATATTATAATTCCTATATTTCAATACTCTATTTATGGTTTTTCAGGAACATTATTCTCCAAAATTCAAGAGCTGAAATTCAAGTCATGTGGATGCATAGGAATGTTTAAGTGTAATTTGTTTTTTCGTTTAATAAATGTTTCATTAAGTATATAATTGTTAATTAATTGTAATATGAATCGTATCTAGAATTTTTGGCCACGCAAAGGTGATATAAGGGCCTCGCGCGGGTGAAACACGAGGGCCCCGCGACGGTAATATGAGGTCTCCGCGACGGTGATATGAGGGCCCCACGACAGTGATATGAGGGCCCCGCGACGGTGATATGAGGGCCCCGCGACGGTGATATGAGGGCCCCGCGACGGTGATATGAGGGCCCCGCGACGGTGATATGAGGGCCCCGCGACGGTGATATGAGGGCCCCGCGACGGTGATATGAGGGCCCCGCTCGACGAAAGTGTTTGCCCCTCAATTTTCGCCCGCGCGGGACCCGCAAACCGTTGTTTTCACCCGCGCGGGGCCCGCCAATTTTCACCGAGTTGCAACAAGGTGCTTCAAAAAATAACTCTGAAATTTATTTTTAAACCCGCGAAAAAATCACAAAATTCAAATCTTCCAAAAAATGCTGAGAGGCCGACGCAGACGAAAAAAAAAATAATTAGTTTCATTTCGAATTGTTCCGCGAGTTTCGAAGTGTCCAAATATGAAATGACTCGCTTTCTGGTAGATCAAATTTTCCAACATGCGCGGCAGTTTTGAATATTTTATCGAGGGGGACGAAAGGAAAAAAAACTGGATGAAGTGTTACTCGTCGCACTTATCATGGTCCATTCAATCCTTTCTATTTTTTTCGTTGTTCGACATGTTTCGTTTTCTCGTTTCATTCGATTCTGGTGTTTCAAAAAAAATCACCGTCCAAATTTCATTGATTAGGCCAATAATATAAAATTCTGCATCAGAAGAAAAAAAACCCCGAGAAAATCTTCATGTTCATCGAAAACCCACCAATTTTTTTTATTTTCTGGAGGACAATTTCATTTTGTTCGCCGTGAATAATGTGTTTTTGATTTTTTCTCGTTTACAACTGCCATCGATAAGATTTTTCATTATTTTTTTTTTCCAAATTTGCATCGCCGTTCATGAATAAATATACATTAATTTTCACCTACATCATTCGACTAAATATATTATTTTCGGCTTCGCACGTTTGCAGAAAATCGTCTATATGCCGAATATACTATGAGAGATGTCTTGAGACGATGCGCTAACAACATGATAAATGTGAATTTTTAAAAATCATTTTTCCTTTTCCTCTGGGGTGCTCGAAAATCTTGTCATCGTTTCAAAATGTGAACACTGTATTGTCGATGTTCTCGCGGCTGCAGAAAATTGGCTAAATGCCAAAAAAAAACAAAGACAATGGTCTTGGCACAAAATTTAAAGTGTAGATTTACGGGCATAAGAAAAGTTAAAGACGCACATCACGACAATAAAGTTTGTCAAAATTTTAACTCTAAAATGGGTATTTTAAAATTACATTGAATAGATCCATTATCACCCAAACTCAACATCAAAAAATGTGAAAGCTCTCTGAAAAATGATTGGTAATCGTATACGACCAGATCGTTTTTCAAACGCGGCCAAAAACGATTGCAAAATGATTTTTTTTTAATTCTAATCGTATATACGATGAAATTGCAATCGTATTCGGCCACGGAGCCAAAATTTGGCGTATTCGATTCGAAACGAAATACGCGACAAAGTGATCGTATATTACGAACCATTTAGCATCA